ATATATATATATACATACATATATATGTTCATCAATTTCATACATATATATATGCATATATATGTTCATCTTGCAGACCAAGGTTTCTCTGAGCCGTTTAGAGGATTTTCTGTGTGCTGAGGATCTGAACCCTGAGGATGTCAGTACAAACTACAGTGGAAGTGAGCAGTGTTATTAATTTTTTATTGATCATGAGTTTATATGGGTGATCATTAAGAAATTCATCTGAAGGGATGGATTAGAACTCTGCTTTTTTGCCTTTACTGCAACAGATCATGCTGTTGGATTTATTGGTGCTTCTTTTCGCTGGGAAAAAAATGGCCTTCCAGTCTTAAAAAAGTAAGCTGTTTGTTTCTTATGAGCTGCTTTGACAGAATGTGATGTCTATAGAGATTTTGTTCAGGTTTAATGTGTTATGATTCAGACTAGATCATGATGTTACATACCAAAAAGACCAAAAATTATTGTTTCTAGAGTATCCCAAGTGATGTGTGCTCTGAAAAGCCAAATCCAGTGTAGTGTCCTTGATGGTCCAAGAGGAACCACATAAAAGCGCATGTTCCCCAGCACAGCACTGTGTGCATGCTATGGGAAGCCAGTGCTCTTCTCCTTTCTCTGCACTTTCCTCACACTGTCTTCGTTCCTTTCATCAGTTAGCACAAGCTGCCAGTCCAAGGGGGCTGTGCATAGCTTAGCACAGGGCCTTCAAATCAGAACACACTTAGATCCAGCTAGCACAGAGTACAGATAGAGCAGCAAGTGGATCTCCTTGTATGTTGAAGTTTATGAGTACATATTGTACATACTTTGACAGCAAAATATACAGATTATGAAGGGCGGCTTTTATTTAACCAGATAGCTATTTTTTTCATGCAGAGGGATCACACATTGGCTACCATTGGTGCTACCTGAGTACACTAGCAGTTGATTGTCAGAGTAAGATGCAACACGAACCATAGGCCTAAGAAGAGTATAAGATCATTTATTGGTTAGACCGTCTCCCATTTGACTTTATTGTGACGAGGTGAGAGCACAACCTCTTAACTTGCAGACAAATAAATTTATATTTAAAGTCATAATTGCAAGTTTCTTAACAGTACATAGTCAAAAGACGTTGAAACTGAACTACTAATTTCTCATTGTTCTGAGAGTAAAAGAGAATATTTCCTCCTTGCACTGACCACAACCCATACATGATGGAGTATTTACAAAGTAGATAACTAATTTGTCTTCCTCAATATTTCCAGCTTGAGTGTCAGCATTCCTGAAGGCTCTTTGGTTGCTGTTGTAGGACAGGTTGGATCTGGAAAGTCATCTTTTCTTTCTGCTGTTCTTGGAGAAATGGAGAAACTTGAAGGAACAGTTCAGAGAAGAGTAAGATTGTCTGTGTGTCCCCCTACCCTGCCTACTCCTTAAATTAGGCATAACTGCTCTTGAAAGTGCAGTTTTTCCTCCTCAGCTGCTTGTAGTTGTAGAAGTACTGGCAAGGGTAGCTCTAGCTTCTGAAATCTTCAGAGTAACACAGTGACACTTTGTTAACAGTGTAACAATTTATCTTTGTTTTCAACCTAAGTGATTGCAAAGTTATTTTCATTTTTTTTTATAACCTGTGTAATTTAGTGCAAAAATCATGAGTAAGTCATGTATTGATCCTAAACATTTAATTCATTTTGAGTGCACTCACACAGCATGTGCAGGACAACCAGAGGATCAGGCTCAGCCAGCATGGCTTTATAAAAGGCAGGTCCTGCTTGACCAATCCGGTCTCCTATGACCAGGTGACCCACTTTAGTGGATGGGGGAAAGGCTGTGCATGTTGTCTACCTGGACTTTAGTAAGAACTTTGACACCATCTCCCATGGCATTCTGCTAGAGAAGCTGGCAGCTCATGGCCTAGACAGGTGGACTCTTTGCTGGGGTAAAAACCAGCTGGATGGCCGAGCCCAGAGAGTTGTGGTGAACAGAATTAATCCAGTTGGCAACCGGTCACAAGCAGTGTTCCCGAGGGCTCAGTTTTGGGGCCAGTCTTGTTTCATACCTTTATCAGTGACCTGGATGAGGAGATAGAGTGTACTCTCAGTAAGTTTGCAGATGACACCAACTTGGAAGGAAGTTTCAATCTTCTTGAGGGTCAGGAGGCTCTGCAGAGGGATCTGGACAGGCTGGAGCAATGGGCCGAGATCAGTTGCATGAGGTTTAGCAAGGCCAAGTGCCAGGTCCTGCACTTCGGTCACAACATTGCCCCAGGCTTGGGGTCAAGTGCCTGGAAAGCTGCCTGGTGGAAAAGGACCTGGGATTGTTGGTGGGCAGCTGGCTGAACATGATCCAGCAGTGTGCTGAGGTGGCCAAGAAGGCCAACAGCATTCTGGTCTGTATCAAAAATAGTATGACCAGTAGGAGTAGGGCGGTGATCGTGCCCCTGGACTTGGCACTGGTGAGGCCACAGCTTGAGTACTGTGTCCAGTTTTGGGCACCACAGGATAAGAAAGACACTGAGGTGCTGGAGCGGGTCCAGAGAAGGGCAGCAAAGCTGGTGAGGGGACTGGGGAGCATGGCTTGTAAGGAGCAGCTGGGGGAACTGGAGTTGTTTAGCCTGGAGAAGAGGAGACTAAGGGCAGACCTTATTCCTGTCTACAACTACCTGAAAGGAGGTAGTGGTGAGGTGGGTATTGGTGTCTTCTCCCAAGTAACTAGCAATAGGACAAGAAGAAATGGGCTTAAGCTGCACCAGAGGAGGCTTAGACTGGATAATTGGGAAGAATTTCTTTATGGAATGAGTAGTGAGGTACTGGAATGGGCTGCCCAGGGAAGTGGTGAAGTCACCATCCCTGGAGGTGTTCAAAAAACGTGTAGATGTGGCACTTCAGAACATGGTTTAGTGGTCATGGTAGAGTTGGGTTGATGGTTGGACTGTATGATCTTGGGAGTTCTTTTCCACTCTTAACGATTCTATGATTCTGTGGTTGCCAGTTTTGAACAGCTGTACAAACTTGACCTACTGGGAGCAGTTACAAACTATTGTGGGAGATGATAATCTTTCTTTGAATGGGGTATGTGTAAAGCAGATACAAGATATGGAAATGGAAAAGTTGAGCTTTAGGTAGAAATGGAATTCAAGTGCTGGCTTTCCTAATGATAGGAAACTCTGTAGTTTAACTTGTCTTGTAGTTACATCGAACAATGAAAGCCCTCATCACAGTACTGAGTTTAGGGAAGTTTTTTATAGGTTATAGATAACAGAGGAAGTTAACCTCTGATGACAGACTACAGTGCTCAAGCAAATAAATAGCAATGGGTAAGCACAATACCAGTTAATCTGGTTGCAAGTGGATGTGGCAAGTGTGTCAGCCTTTAAAATAAATGTTGAATAAGAATCCAGTCTTGTGAAAATCTAGTGCAGGAACCTGTCACTCTGGGGGATGGAGGGAGAATATGAATTTGAGGTGTTCTGAATCTCCATCTACTAATTAATGGGAAGAAGATTAGCTGTGTAGAATCTAATAAAGGGAGGCATATACCCAACAAGTGTATCTATGCTATCAGTTTGTTGTAAAATTAATGGATTTTCACAGGGCACACAGCTTAATGTAAGGAAAAGTCTAGGGACATTTCCAGTTATAATTCCTATCCTGTAATATTACTTTCTAATGGTTGACAGATTCTACAGCATGTTACATAAAAATACAAACAATCAAACTATATTTTTGTATATACTTAATACAGACCCATTGTGCTGCATATAAATCTTACAATGGATGCCTGTTAGTCACTGAGATCTTTACCTGAAAGGCTTTGCTCAGTACATGTCCCAGATTTATCAATTTTATTAAAAGTATGTGCTTTTATAATATAGGCAAGCTGTTATAGAGGAATATTCAACAGATTGTTTTTATTACCTGACTTAGTCAAAATTGTAACAGATTAAAAATGCTCAAGTTTTGGAATTGATTACTGGTTGCTTTGAGGTGAAGCTGGAATTTCAAATGTGTTTTTAAATGGTATTTTTTGTGTTTCAAAAGCACAAGTAAAAAAATTGTTTCCAATTCTTTTTAGGGTTCAGTGGCATATGTCTCTCAGCAGCCTTGGATTCAAAATGACACTTTACAGGAAAATATTCTCTTTGGTACAGATCTAAATAGACCATACTATGAACTTGTTTTAGAGTCTTGTGCTTTACTGCCAGATTTGGAACAGTTACCGAACGGAGACCAAACAGAGATTGGAGAAAGGGTGAGATTCTGAGGTGTCAGAAATTATGCAATAAGTTAAGTTAGGGCTTTTATGTTTTTATATATGATCTGTTTCATAATTTAAGCTGATGACTAATCAGTGCTCAGACAAGTACATGTAGCCCATCTCCTTACTTAACTTACTTTGAAATTCTGTTCAAGCTCTGGACTCTCACTACTTTTTAGAATGGCTCTTGTCTATACAGAAGTTTGAGTCAGCCCTGTCCTGTTCTACAGGGGTTTCCTCTAAACTGTAAAAATGCCTGGATGACTATAAATAAAAGGGTTTTTTTTAATTTTGTCAAGTACCTTGCATATGCCCAATATGGAGTGTGAATTTAATTGACAGAGCCCAAACCTCACTCAAATTACTTGAAAATCTAGATGTTACCTTTTTATTTTCATATCTAATATAAAATTTACTTCGATTACCTGGGGGAAAAAAAAAAAAAAAAAAAAAAAAAGACAAGACTGAGTGTGGTACAGTGGTCTTCTTTAGTATGTCATATTTAAATGTGAATTATTTTGGCTTCTTTTTCTTAGGGTGTTAATATAAGTGGAGGGCAGAAGCAGAGAGTGAGTCTCGCTAGAGCTGTGTACACCAATGCTGACTTGTATCTTCTGGATGACCCCCTATCTGCTGTAGATGTACATGTTGGGAAACATCTTTTTGAGAAACTAATTGGCCCTTCAGGTCTCCTAAAAAGCAAGGTAAGGTAGGATGGCTTCCTTTCAATTTGTGGATGATCTGCAAAAACTCATCTCTTGTGTAGCTTGTTGATGAAAGTTATTCTGAGTAAAGAGGCTAAATAAAAAGCACAGCTGACTGTGTCAGTTTGAAGCCTGTTGCATAAACATAGGACAGACAGAAGATAAGACTGAGTGCTGCCCTGACCTAAGAGTCTGAAAGAAGCATACAATCTTTGCTCATTTCTTCTTTTCTAGCAGTATTTGAGGAGTGCTGTGGATCTGCATATAGAAGGTGGGGTGGAGCCTTTTGTGGTTATTCTTAATGCCTCACTACAGTAAATAGCTTTTAGAAAGAAAGGCTTCTTGTTGATCAAAGAAATTCCTAGGGGAAAGTAGATTTAGAAGGAATAGATTCTCCCATTTTAAAACTGTTTATGTGAGAAGGTAAGATAACTTGTAAAAAAACTCTCCTCAGTGCTATGAATTAGTACAGATTATTTCCACTGGCTGATGCTTGCAAAACACATGTATTACTATGAAATATTCCTATGAATTACATTTACTTCATAGTAAGTAACAAATTATTTCACTTGCCTTCTCTACCTTCTCCCTTTTCTTAATTTACCTGCTCCATGAGTTATAAGTATCTGGCAGAGGCAATAACTCTAGTAATGTTAGACTTGTCAGCAGATTTTAACATACAGATTATCAAAATACATGTAGTATATGAAAAGCTGTAGCCTCTATCTCTTATTTTTACAACCTAATCTACACCATCCCTGAGCAGAAGATACCCATTAAGAAACAGGTAAATGCAAGTAATAGCTATGAGCATAAAATCTGACATTACAATCAGCAATTAAAAGAGTAATGCAGTAAAGTAGGCAATAAATAACAATAATAGCAATAATAAAGTAGACAAATAAATGAGTAAAGTCCCGGAAAAAATCCATTATATCTTTCCAGCTATCATAATCTAACATCTACTTTTAATATACACTTTGTATTTATATGGTAAAATGGAAAACATTGTGTTTCAGACTCGTATATTGGTGACTCACAACCTGATGCTCCTGCCTCACACTGATCTTATAATCATAATGGAAGAGGGCAGAGTAAGTCAGATGGGAACCTACCAAGAACTCGTTTCAAAGAGAGCAAATTTTGCTGAGCTTATTCAAGTCTCCAATGCAGACCATAAAAGTGAAGATACAACCCCAATGGGAGGTGAGGAAATTTGTGTACTGTGTCTGCATAGTATGTTTTACTTTCATTCAGGCTTCTCAAAATAGTCCTCCTCCCCTTTCTGGAAAATAATGGAGTAGTTGCTGGAAAATGTAGAGCATTCATGTCTCCATTTTAGTATATTATTATTTATAGGTTATAAATTGAAAAACATTTGTGCTTTAATGTCATGAGATCAAATGGTTTACTGTTTGAAGTAACAAATGTGTGATAAAGATGCCTTATGCAGATGTTTTTGCACTTTTACGTACTGTATTAAGATTCTGCTAAGGATTTATCGCTCAATAAATAACTTACGGACATTTCAAATTAATCTTGCAGTGTCAATGATTATGTCCTGCTTTATATTGGTTTCTTTCTGTTTCCATTGCCTTAGACTGCTGTAATCATGGAGCATAGCAGTAGGAGAAAAAAATTGTATCCTACAACAGATGATTGATAAGATAATTGATATAAGATGTTTATAATGATGGTTTCCAGTTAGCTTAGCAACTCTAAATTGAGCCTGAAGTAAGTAGAGTGAATTATCTGATTTTTCTTATTAATTCAAGCCCTACACTGGAGATAGCACTTTCAAATATTTTCTGGAGTTTGATGAGAAGGAGTGGAAAGATAGAACAGCAAATCTGCAAAAGTCAGCAGTGGGCAGTCTTGAGTTAACTGTGTTGGGATGAAAGGTGTGAGGTAGCCATATAAGGGATTCATGAAGGGTAACAGAGGGAAGGAGAACCAAAGTAATGGGGAGAAGAAACAGCGTGCAAGGTGTCGTGATACAGAAT